TGTCATTCTTTTTTTTTTGTAGGACTTTGCTTTTAGCAAAGTCCCAGTTTGTTATCGAAATGTCCATTCTTGTTTTGCAAATGACTATTTTTTTTGCAGTGCGTTCTTTGAACGCACTGCTTTGTTTTGCAAATGATTTTTTTTTTTTTTTTGCAAATGAATATTTGCAGTGTGTTCTTCGAACGCACTGCTTTGTTTTGCAAATGACTATTTTTTTTTTTTTTCGAATTTTACCTTCGCTTGTTTTCTAAGAAGGCAACATGCCACAGACTGTCTGTTGTTGTTTTCTAGTCAAAATATTTGACAGTTATTTGTTAAATGTAAATTGGCACCATTTTGACCAACCGGGAATGAGCTGTGGACAATGGCTCTTTTTCGATTTTTTCCATTAATCAGCTTTACTACTGATCTGAATTTGCTTACACTTTTCTGTTTATTACATCGCGCTAATGACTACAAGATAGCAATTGAAAAAATGGACAATTTTGAATTTTGTCGCTGACTTTTTGAGTTCCAATTTTTGAGTATTTTAACATTTTTTCTAATTTCTGCAATTCTATTTCGATCAATCTGAAAACATACAGAGTAATAGACACTTTCATTGCGAACATAAAGTAATTTCCAAAATTTTGATATCACTTCCGGTTTTGACACTATTCGCTTGTAAAATATAAAATTCAACTTCCGGAATTTTGAAGATATTTCAAAAATTCTTTTTGCAATATGTTACAAATGGCCATACAAATAACTTCAAATCATAAAATCCGACCCGGATGTAACAGAGTAGCCGCCATATTGATATGTCAAACTTTTGTAAAATTCAAAATGGGGCCTCAGGGTATAAAGCGCTTTTCATAATTTTGATTTTTCAGGATATCACAATCGATTGCGAAAAGAAATTTGGAAGCCGAATTTTGAATTTCGATTTTGCTTTTCTTTTATTTCCGGTTAAAGTTTTTCGGTAATGTCCAAAATTTCAAAGGCTCCTATTTCGTGACCTTGACCTTTGGTGACCTTGTGGCCTGAACAAAATTTGTTGCTCTTGATGATATCTATCCAGTGATATACTCATTTGTGCTGTGCAATGTTTACTTCCGGTTTTATAGCCGACTGAAATTTACGATTTTTAGCTTCAAAGAGTTCTGACACGTGACCTAATTTACATACACCAAAAATTCTTATTGAATCTTACTAGTGTTCATCTGCCCTGTGTAATGATATATAACACTAGATATTTCAATCAAAATTGCGCTTTTTAATATTTGAAAATTTTGTACTTTCTTCTATAGTAACTGTGCGTAATTTTCTATAAATCGAAATGGGGCCTCAGGGTGTAATCCAATTGGTGTAAATTTGATATCTATGGTATCTACTATCGATTGCTAAATTATATTTGAGAACCGATTGTTGAATTTTGATTTTGCTCTTTATTTATTTCCGGTTGAAAAATATGAATACTTTGAAGGGTCGTATATCGTGACCTTGACCTTTGGTGATCATGTGACCAGAACAATTTTGATAGCTCTCGACGAGATCTTTCCAATGGTATATATACGGTGTTTACTTCCGATTTGATCGCCATTTGAAATTGATGAATTTTATCTTGAAAAAGTCGGTTTTCCGCTTGTAAGTTTTTTTTTTGTGGTCTAAACGATAAAGGTAGTTTGCTCCCTTCAACTGTTGTTGAATACAATGTGAGTTGAAGCGATCTGTCGAATATGCTTTGCGTTTGGTCGATCTATATCCAGTTAATTATGATAGAAAATTATGTTACTGTTACGATACTTTGCGGCACAGTGGGGAGAAATGCTCTTTATTCCTATAATTTCTCAAATATGGCCAGTGACGATTGTCCAATATGGCGGACTGGCCAGTCAAAGACGAAGCCCCTACATGGCCAATTTTTGCACAGTCCACAGTAATGGGGGTGAGGCAGATTTTTGGATGGAATGGGCACAAACTCAATCACATAGTGCCTTCAGACCTGTGAATATCTCTAAAATTCCAATATAATGATATTTTCATGCCTAACTGTGTTACTAGCCAGTCAGTGACGAAGCCTCTACATGGCCAATTTTTGATGAATTGTCAATTTTTCCCGATGGTCTGCTATAGAATTTTTGGTGCCAGTGAGGTCCTGAGATGCCAATCTAACATATTTAGGTGTACAATGGGGAGAAATGCTCTTTATTCCTATAATTTCTCAATATGGCCAGTGACCAATATCCAATATGGCGGACTGGCCAGTTAAAGACGAAGCCCCTACATGGGCAATTTTTGCACAGTCCACAGTAATGGGGGTGAGGCAGATTTTTGGATGGAATTGGCACAAACTCAATTACATGGTGCCTTCCGACCTGTGAATATCTCTAAAATTCCAAAATAATGGTATTTTCATGCCTAACTCTGTCACTGGCCAGTCAATGACGAAGCCCCTACATGGCCAATTTTTGATATATGGCCAATTTTTTTCTTTGGTCTGCTATGGAATTATGAATGACATTTTGGTGCCAGTGAGGCCCTGAGATGCCAATCTAACATATTAAAGTGTACAATGGGGAGAAATGCTCTTTATTCCTATGATTTCTCAAATATGGCCAGTGACGATTGTCCAATATGGCGGACTGGCCAGTCAAAGACGAAGCCCCTACATGGCCAATTTTTGCACAGTCCACAGTAATGGGGGTGAGGCAGATTTTTGGATGGAATTGGCACAAACTCAATCACATAGTGCCTTCCGACCTGTGAATATCGCTAAAATTCCAATATAATGATATTTTCATGCCTAACTGTGTTACTGGCCAGTCAGTGACGAAGCCTCTACATGGCCAATTTTTGATAAATGACCAATTTTTTCTGATGGTCTGCTTTAGAATTATGAATGACATTTTTGGTGCCAGTGAGGTCCTGAGATGCCAA